ACCTCCTCCTCGTACTCCTGCTCTCCGGCAGTCACGACATCCATCAACTCGTTCTCTACATGCATGCAATGATGATGCAACACTTATTATTTTTGCAACAACAACTCTTAAAATAAGAATACACATGCTAAGCTACCAAGCTAGCTCTAATGACTACGATACTAAGCTAACCATTATCTCTACCAAATAGATTTCAAGCTCACCCTACAAGTGCTTAGCTTTTATAAACCAATATCATGCCATTATTCCTTTAGCCTTAATGGGTATTTAGCTACCATATTAAGTAGTCTATTCTAGGGCTACAAAAATCACAGTGAGCATATAATAATACAATGAAGCTACCATAAAAATTTCAGGGTTTTTGCTATCACCAATCTACCACAAAAAATCATATAATTATTAATCAAAATAATACTAAGCGTCTCAACTATTTTAATGCTCCTTAGCAACGACACAGATATGTATGAACTAACTATACTAACAGGTACTCAATGTTTTTGGAAACCTCACAAAATTAGTTTCACAATTTTTAGATATATACATTATTTTATATTAATTACCAAAGTTCAGCTCAGAATTAAAATGAAAAGCTATTTTTATTTTCCACGAAAAATATAAACCGATTTCGGCCCAACGCGGCTCACGCGGGGCGCAGCCCTCGCGCGGAGGCGGCCCGCGGCGGGGAGCCCGCGTGCACCGGCACTATTACAAAAATAGCCTCGCGTTATCAGACAATAGCGCGAACACTACACGTACAATTTCTATAGACAACGAGTTTGCAACGGAGCCCTCGTATCTTTTCACCTTCGCATCGGAGAGGTCCCAGAGACGCCCCACACTAGACGGCGCGACGGACGGTGGCATTAGGCGGTATGCCGGCCACTCGTGGCTCGCACCGACCCAGCTAATGAGCTGAACCCCATCTACAACCCTAACGCCTACCCTAAGCGGCGATAAGGAGCAACAGGGCGCACTGGAGCGAGCTGCCACCGCACGTGGTCCCCCACGACGGCGCCGCGGTCATCTCGGCGAGCTACAGCGCTAACCGGGCGGTAGAGGTAGGGGATAAGCACCAGGGGCACACCGTGAACCCGACCGAAGTGGTGGTTCGGCCGGCGACTACCTGAGCAAGGCTGGACGCGTGCGCGCGACGAGCACGGCGGACACGGCCGTGTCAGCGGCGGGGGGGAGGCGGTAGCGCTCCCACTGGCGTGCGCACAGTGGAGAGGGAGCCAAGGCGAGCTAGTGGTGTAGAGGAATTTCGCGGGGTGAAGTGGTGGAGGCTGGCCATGGTGCGGGCAGTGACGGGTCTTAACGGCGCGGTGACGGGACGAAGCTCCAAAATTAAGGCTCGGCTGAGCTGCAATCAAAGCGGGGTGGGGGCGGCTAGAGAGGGGACGTGAGGGCGGAGGCACGGACAAGAGGGATTGATGAGAGGTGACCCCTCGCAGCTACGGCGCCGGGGCGATTCGACGACGGCAGGGAGATGAGAAAGAGAGAGAGCGCGAGGGAGCGGTGGGGGAGGGGCAGCCAGCGACTTGGCTAGGGCGTGCCTTGGCGGGACGCGGTTGGCGCAACCGGCGTAGCCCGTGGCCAGGCACTAGCCGATAGATACGCACGCTCACGACCGACGTGGCCCACGCGCCGTAGTGCCATCAATGGCAAGCGACGGCGACACGGCCACGGGCGCGCAACGTCAAGGCAGGCCAGCGGCGCAGCGCAGCTGCAGGCGCGCAGCGTGGTGATGCGACTGCGGCGGCAGCGGCGTCATCGCGGCGTGGGCACAGAGACAGCAGCAGCACCAGCGGTAGCCACGGTGGCAGGGGCGGTCAGGCGTAGAGCGGACCGGCGGCCTAGCGGTGCGGCCAGACCGGCCAAGCCATGGCACAACCGCGTGGCGACAAGGGTCGGCCACGCGTGGTGACCACGCGGACGACGCCAGACAGCACAAAAGTTGTGTCGTGCATGGATTTTAAAGCGCTGATCACGACCAAACCGTTGCTCCTAAACCTAAACCGGCTTCACTGTACTCAAGATTGCATATGGAACTACTAAATCGAATCATAGTACTACACCACTCCTTAACCCAATCTCTCCAAATAAATTGCTAAACATAGCAGTGTCTAGCTATCCACAGACTTATAAAATTTCTAAGCGTTTGAGCTAATCTTAATTTCATATTGCATTTCTAAGCTACTGAAAATATTACTTAGCAATATTGTTTTTTAACAACAAGTATTTTATTGTCATCTACAAAGTTTGCACTTTCAACTTTATTTAAGTATCACACACATGTTTATAGTATTTTTGCTTAATAAAAATTGGTTTTAAACCCTACTTGATATGCATGGACCATCGAACCAACTTTCGTTTAGCATTTTTATTGATTATTTTGAGTTACAGAAATTGATCTACACACTTCACCACATGCATTAACACACAAGTATGATGCTCGTGACATATTTTAGTAGATGATTAACGGGGAAGGGAGGAGACGTTTGGTCATTTGAGAATAACCGAAATCTGGTAGGAATATTCCTATTCTGGGATGCCCCTATCCACTAGGTTCTTCAACCAAACACTAGCTATAGTATGGAATGATTCTATTCTACCCATTCAAAGAGCCAAAACATATTCTAAATAGAATATGGGCTTAAAATCAATACTATTGGAGTTGCTCTAATAGACCAACATGCCTTGGTGGAGCTGTTATCAAGGGCTAGGCTACATAGTTGAGGCCTCCTTTAGAATGAAGGAAACTTTCATGTTTTCTATGGGCCTGTTCGTTTCGTTGAAATTTGGTTTATGCTGCTGCTTATGCTGAAATACTGTGAGAGGAAAATAATGTTCGTTCGCTGCAGGTACTGATGAAATAGTGTTGCAGAACATGACAATATGTTTGGGCCTTGTCCATATAAGATTCCTGTACAATTCTTGTCCTAGATATCGATCCTTTGGGCCTTGTCCATGTGACCAATACGTTTTGTCTGACAGAGGCCCGCCAATAGTCGCCCTGCTCGTTTTGGCTTGTTTGGCTGATAAGCCATGACTGAAAGTACTGTTGGTTGATTTGGTGTGAGAGAGAAAATATTGTTCGTTGGTTGAAAAAATACGATTTATAAGCTAAACAAATTCAAACAAACAGGAGTGTCGCGAAAGCTCGTGAAGCATGTGCAGAACATGTCATCTGGGTGAGGCAAACGTCTGGCTCGCAGCCCTTCATTCTTTATCCTCAGAAGTTCATGTGCACTCGGAGCACGCCGCGATGCGCTGAGCCGCTGACCGACCTGAATCCTCTGACGGGAGCACTTCACGCGCGGGAGTCGAACACGTCGCCGGCGTGCTGGACGGCCACTGTGCTGACGCGTTTAACGGAGGCAGCTCCTCCGTTCCCGGAGCAGCCCGGGCCGTTCCCACGTGTTGCCGCGTTGGCGCGCGCCGACGGTGCCGTCGCCATTCCAGAGCCGTGTCCGTCCGTCTCCGTACCTCTCGTGTGGCCCGCTGCAAGCCCCGCGGCAGGAGTAACACCACTTGTTTCCACGTAATCCGCACGGTACAGCTACAGCGCCCGATCACACACGAACTTTGCCCCCCTGTGTGCGCTGTGCGGTGTGCCCTATCGGCGGCACCGGCACGCCTCCATCCGTCACGTGCGCGCTCCTGCGCGTCTGCGGCACCGCAACCGCAACACAAGAAAAGGCCTGATCGCTTCGCTTTTGCTTCCGGAGGACCGGTGCAGTCAGGCAGTGACACGTACCATCGCTGTTTCTGTATCTGTCAAGAAAAAAAAAAGATCTTGTGAATAACGTCAGCAACGCAGTTTACGTATCCTACCGGCGTTTTGTGACCTTTCACCGTGACGGTGATACACTGATACCTCAACGGTGTAGGTCGACGAGAGAAAAAGGCTACAGTTCAGTTCAGATTTCAGATCAGGTGCATGCCCAATCAGCCCGCTGATCGTCTAGTATCTCACTCTGACTCGGAGCACAATCACCCGGCAGGGAAAGCACAAGCAGCCGTACCATCCCGACCTAATTGCTCTCAATAATAATAAACCGAACCGATAATGCGGTCGCTGGCCGGCCATCCACACGCAAAGCGGCGCCGGAGGCCCGGGGCAGTGACCCAAAAGGCCTCTGATAATACCTAACAGCTGAGCTGGCTTATCAGTAAATCACTCCACTGATACTCTCGTTTGGGCCATCGATCGCCGGTCCCTGTCGCCCACCACCGGCCCCACCGAAGACAGCATTCCTAGCTAGTAACCACATGCGTTTGGATTATGCAGGGCCCTTACTGAATATCTGGATAAGAGGCAGCCCAGCCCCTCGTCCTCGTTAGCTGATGCACGCTGTCAAGTTAGTAGTATTAAGTCTCCGTTTTAGTCATTGCTTTCGTATTACTGCTAATGGATCGATTAGCTGATGCAAGCGCGGGCTACTCAGCCTATTCGTTTGGCTGCGGCTTGTCGTAAACGATCGTAAATTTCTAGTCAGAACAGTATTTTTCTCTTACACAAATCAGCAGTATTTCTTCACATACCAGCAACGATACGAACCAGCCAACCGAACAGGCTAACATCCCGCGCTCGAGTTGATCAGTGTCCTATGCCGGGACGCCGACGTCGCCGAGTGATATTCCGGCGGAATTTCTAGTAACTGCGCTGCGCGGGAGATCTTCTTCTTTGCGCGCTCCGGAACGCGACAATCCCCACGCATCCGGCGTGTCCCGTGTCCGGCCACCGGGGCCCTCCGGCCTCGTGAGACTGATGTGGACCCTTGCGGCGATTTTTTATAAGCGCCCGGCAAGCGCCGTGTGGAGCTCAGCCATTCGTACGACGGTATCCGAGCAGGTGGTTCAGCGATCAGCTCAGTCCCCAGCCCAGCAGGCAGGCACCAGGCGCAAGCGCAACGGTTGTATCGGTATCGCTGTAGCTAAGCTAGCATCTCAGTTCTCAGCTCTCGTCGCCGAGTGTCCAGTCTCGAGTCCAGCGGAGGATGGAGAGCAGCTTGCTTGACACCGCCGCGGCTGCCGGTCTTTGCCCGGCGGCGGCCGGGCGCCGCCGGGCCGGGAGCACGGCGAGCTTCCTCAGCTGCTCCTGCTCCTCCCGAGGTACGCGCATCATTTCGACACCGCCGCCATCGGTCGCGCAGTTTGTTTCCGGATTGGTCTCTGGCTTCAGCTTCACCAATCGTTGTTGGCTCGATCTCCCTTCAGACTGCAGGGTGAGCGCGTCGTACTCCCACTCCATCAGCCGGATGCTGAGCGGGGTGCGGTCGGCGGCGCGCAAGAAGCTCTTCCGGAGCGACCCGGTGGCGGCCGACCTGCTGGGCATCGCCAACTGGTCGGATGAGACGAGCGGCGGCGCCGGGGGCCACCAGCAGCAGCAGCACTGGTGGACGGTGCTGGAGAACAACTTCGTGCTGGAGGCCACTGACGACGAGTACGGCGGGGTCGTCGTCGACGCCGACAGGCTGCCCGACGACAAGGCCGCCTTCGCGCGCTCGCTCGCGGCGTCGCTCTCTTACTGGAAGTCCGTGGTACGTACGGCTGGCCTGGCCCCCACTTCTGATCTCTCTCCCTCTCGTCCATCCAATCGATCGAGAAACCTTCGGGAGGTTTCAGTGCTCATTGCTGAAGGAAGGCAGCACTGCCATTTTGCTGATTTGCTACGGTGTTGATGCTGCTGCAGGGGAAGAAAGGGGTGTGGTTGAAATTGCCGGTGGATCGAGCCGAGTTCGTCCCTTTAGCAGTGAAGGTAGGAATTTGGTCTTCAGAATCTCAGTCCCAGTTAGTTCTACAATGCTTTCCTAGTTCCTACATGTGCAACGGAGACTCCGAACCAATAGAATCCACTTTTTTTCTCTTTAAATTAAACAATATAAAATTCAGAGTTTTTCTTTCTGAAACTCTGTCTGCAGGAAGGTTTCAAGTACCACCACGCGGAGGAAGCGTACCTGATGATGACGTACTGGATCCCTGATGATGAACCAAATATGCTCCCGGCGAATGCTTCTCATCAGGTTGGGGTTGGGGGTTTTGTGATCAATGACCAAATGGAGGTGAGTGGGTCCCACGTATACCCATGCTTCGATAGGAACAGACAGACAGCTGAAAAAAAGCTACCTTTTGTGTTTCTGAACTCTGATGGCATTCTCTTGGACAATTTCATTTCATCAGGTCCTAGTGGTGCAAGAGAAGTATCGCGGTTCGTCGCTGGATGGCGTCTGGAAACTCCCCACAGGCTTCATTCTTGCCGTAAGAATATACTCCTATGTCCAAGGTCATCCGTCATCACGATGATAAACTACCCATGTAGTTGTTACTGAAATTTTGTTCTGTCGCAGTCAGAGGAAATCTACACGGGAGCCAGCAGAGAGGTGAAAGAGGAAACCGGGGTAAGAAAATGGAACTCTCCAGAAGGCTAGAGAACCCAGTACTTTCCCATCCATCTTCGTCCTCGTAGGGATCGATTCTCACAAGTGCTGTGATTGCGATACACTATGCAGGTCGACACCGAATTCGTTGATGTTGTTGCTTTCAGGTAGTTAAGTTACCTTCTTTGTTTCGGTGATTATCCCGATAATTGTATCTTAGTATCCTCGAACTGTGGGCTGAATTTGTCCTACGTATGGTATGTTGCCAGGCATGCCCACAACGTGGCGTTTCAGAAGTCGGACCTTTTCTTCATCTGCATGCTGAGGCCTGTATCGAGTGAGATCAAGATTGACGAGACAGAGATTCAGGCAGCAAAGGTGCGCCGTCATCTTTCTTGAAAGGGGATTTTATGCTTTCTGATTGAAATAAGCCTGCAAAATAAATAAAAAATCCATTTCCATTTCACATATTCAGATCATCTAAAAAAATTTCACGTATTCAGAGCATGAAGTTTGAGACAGTAAAACAAGTCAAGCTTACTAACCCACCGAGACGTTTATTTCAGTGGATGGCACTGGAGGAGTTCGTGAAGCAGCCCTTCATCCAGGAAGACCACATGTTCCAGAAGATCATGGACATATGCATCCAGCGCCTCCGCAAGTGCTACTGTGGCCTGACGCCGCACCACGTCGTCTCCAAGTTCGACGACAGAACGTCGACGCTCTACTACAATGTCGCCGAGCCTGAGGACGTCAACTGCAGCGCTGCCTGATTGATTTATATGATGGGAGGGATAGCCACCCAGCATCTAGTCTAGCTTTTGCTGCGCAAAGTTTCATGATGCAGCAGTTGCGATTGCTAAGAGTGAAATACTTGTAACAGATTGCGCGAGGCAATAGTACTGTAATACTGTTGCCGAGCCTTGTACATATACGTGTAGGGCATAACTAGAGAGCTGTATATCGGTAGCTCTGTCGTGTGTGTTCTGATAAATGATGGAGCCGTTTGGTCGGTTACGACTTCCGAAACGATTTCTGCATCGAACCAAACGCAGTACTCGCCCCCACCATGTGTCCTCCTGGCCATCCTCGCCGCTAGGCACTAGAGCCGAACCTCACAATGCTAACCATTTTTGTTTGTTTTGGTAAAACCGATTATGTGGCATCACGATTCACGACTGTACCTATATAATACAACAAAAGAACACTCACGAAAGACTCCATCCAAGCGATTTCTAGACAAAATAAGAATCTTGGCAAATGCTACCTTGCCCCTAAGTAATTAGGATGGACTAATGGAGGGAGTAGTTCAGTAATTATTTTCTTTAGTTACTGGTTGGCTGTCTCTTTTGGATGACGCCAAGTCTAAAAGTGATCTCAATATTTCCAAGAAAAGGCAAAGAAGAGATAGAGGAGGTTGAGAACCTATAATACCATGTATTTTGGTATACACTACATCCCTTATATTTAAGGACAGAGGGAGTGCAACTGAAAACGTAAACTTAACATAATGCTAATCTCAGTTACAGTTTATCAATGATACTATTAACTTGGACAAAAATACAGGAACGTTACCACAGAGCACTCAACAATAGACCACAGCAAGCGATGTAGGGGCGCCAAAGCTAGATGTCATGGCATCGATGGAGGTGATGGGGTTGGGTTTGATTTTTCTTACCCGACATTCCGATTCTGGAACGAATTTCTAATGCGTGTCATTAAATCATGTCTAGATTGTACATAATTTTTACAGACTTTACAGGTTCCTAAAATTTCATCCTAACCGAAATTTTCGAGAATTGTCTATCTAGTACAATAACTAGTTTTGGAAGGTTGGGTATTTATACACCCTCATGCTATTCTCTTGCTGGTGCTCTTCCAACATCGAAAAACGCATTTGTAGAGGCCAAAGAAACTCTTCCCACTTCCTCTTACTGAGAATTGATTTATTCTTGTGAGATATGGATAGATGGGTGGAAAGATTGGGTGATTGATAGTAAGAGAAAGCATTCCATCCTTAAGTATTTGTGGATTTCGTTAAGCTATTAGTGAAATGTTGGTTACTCTTGGGATGAAACCTCCTAGATGGCTAGGCATTACCCAGTGAGCTCTCAAGTTTGTGGTGAGACACGGGAAGTTTGTGAAGGTTTCGATTTCGCCTCCGCAAGGGAAGAAATTAAAGTGAAGGGCAAGATCGATCTTTGGGGTCTCTTTGGTGAGGGTAAATGGTTGACAGGTTAAGAGGAACACAGCACCTTTGGGAGCTCCTCAACAAAGAATTCACAAAGGTGAATCTTGATTTTGGTAAACAAATCGTATGTCATCTCTACTTGTTTTTGTGTTCTTATTGTTCAAATTGACTTCTAGATGATTGGCTCTGATCTATTTTATTCTTGTGTTTTTTTGGAGGAATCAACTCACGATATGTCTAGCAACCCTTAGTAACAAAGTAGAACCAATTAAATATGCGTAATCTTTGTCGACCTATGATTTCACGTTACCCAGTCCAAGAAATTCTGGTCAAGACAAGAGATATTTTGGTCTAAAAGTGTTAGTCCTTTAATCAGCTACAATGTTATATTTTTCAAGAATGTCTATCCAACCTCCCTCTACACGGCATCTCAATCTTTTCAGTGGTGCTGTCATCTTTAGCATCCCAGATCCTCTTAACCACCACCGACAGCGACCACTGCATGCAAGGGCTAGTGTCCCTCCTCACCCGTCCATTTGGGCTCCACAACCTCCTCTCACTTGAACCTAGATGTGCGCTTGGCGAGGCCACGGAGGCAACTATGAGAGTAGTGCATGCGTCGTACAACGAATGCCTATCAAGCTGTGGCGGATGGCGATGAGAAGATGGGGGGGGGCTGTTATAATCGACGGCGCACAACCCATCCAGGTGGCCATCATTGCGTTGATGGTAGGTGAATGTGGGGACATGGTGCGGCGATACTCGTGGAGAACGAGCAAGCAATAGTGGCCCAGGAAGCCGTGGTCAGGGAGGGGATGGGGTGGCGTGCAATTGGGGATGAGGGGGTGACACGCATAGCTAGGGAGGAAAGAGTGACACTGCCACATGGGAGGAGCGCCGCATGGCTAGGGAGGAAGGAGCGGTGCCATAGCATTGGGCCAACGCGGCACGTCTAGCTTGTTACGAGAAAGAGGCCTCGATGGCGAGGATAAGAGCCTAAGGGTAGATAGTCATGTCACGTTCGTATTAGCAAATAGGTAAAAGTAAGACTTTAATGTAAGATAACTAAACCTACTAATGGGCTACAAACTGCACTGAAACTGGATCAAACCATTTAACCCAAGCTGCTCAATCCACCCCGCCGGGAGCGAGACTCGTCTCGACTGGCCAGGCGGTGAGGTTTAAGGCCTCAGCCGGCCGACCGGAGTTCGAGCCTCAGTGGGGGCAAAATTTCCGGTACCCACCCAAAAAAATCCTCCTCGCTGTGCTCGCTGGTGCGGTTGCGTCCAGGCAACGGTGTACCTGCGTCGGCCTATGATTGATCTGCTGGCACTCAGTTTAGCCCGCGGGCATGAGCCAGGGTTCAGGGGGTTTTCTGGACCAGGGTCGTTGATCCCTCTTTCTACTTGAAAGCCGTGAGGGCGGTTCTTCGCCCACCGGTTCTTCGTCCACCCCGCCTCCACAGTGCATCTCCCCCCACCCCACACACACACACAAAACTAAACCAAACTGGAGTAACATTTAACACCAAACCAATCTGACTCACCGGTGCAAACCATGACTTGAAACCATTTCAAATCTATTAGCTGTAGTTTCCTACCTAGTCGACATGAGCAAACTAGCTAGCAGAATTATCTAGCTGCAGAGCTGCTACATGCTTGACCTACTGCTCTGCTTCTCCTTGGCAACAAGCAAAGGCAAACACAAGGTCACATTAGCTCCTCTGGTTCGAGCCTGTATCAAAACCAAAGAAATACATATCAGACCAAACCAAACCAGTCCATCTTATGCGCTAACCCAAACCAATTCAGGCCCCTACAATTTTCAGCCTATTTCTCCCCAAACTAGGTTAGCCCAAAACAGAAACCAAACCACATAAATCGGGTTGAACCCAGAGCTTTAGCAGCTTTAAATAACAACTATATCTTTTGATTGTATTTATAGGATTGAGTTCCTTTTAATGGTATTTTTTATACTACACAATTAATTCTCTTTTGTTTTTAGTTCCCATGTTGCCTGAGCAACCCTAATGTGTCAAAAAAACTTCATAAGCATTAAAGTATTTCTTATAATCTATCTAAAGTATAGTGTGAGCAATCCATACGGAGTTGCCGAGCCAATAGCAAAAGTCACCGATAACACCATAGCCAAACAATAAACTATTGATTTTTCTCTCTGCCCTCTCTGCAACCTAGAGCCATTGTAGAGTCAAGTTTATTTTTGGGTAAAAATTGTGAGGTTTACTTTTTTTATATAGACGATGCATTGTGGGATTTGCTATAACTGGTGTCGACTGTTTATATAAATTGTTGCCTCGATTCTCAGCCTGTTCGTTTGCTCGTAAACAATCGTAAATTTTCAGCCGGAAACAGTGTTTTTCTCTCACACCAAACCAGCCAGTAGTAAATAATCCACGATACGATACGGCCTCCCGAACAGGCTGTCTATTTCTAAGAGCAAACGCAATGTATACTGCTAGACTCGGTAGTAGCGTGGGTCCAACGAATAGGCTGAAGTAGTGATCGACCCAGCGCACAATGTCTATCCTGTATAAAGTGGGGCCTGCAAAGAAAAAAAATCGTCTCCTGCGACTCCTCCCGTGATGAGATGGAGAGAAGTTGTCAGATGCATGTGACCAGAAACACTGTGCAAAACATTATTGTTTATTTGCTTGCTACGAAAATAGTCCTATGACCCGGCTACCGCTCATCCCCATAATCAGCCTGTTCGTTTGTTGATTTTAACCAGTCTAAACTAGTCAGTCAACAGTGTTTTCCTCTCATAATAAACCAGCACCAATCAGCCCAGAAATCAACCAGCGAACAGGCCAAATATATCCTTCCGGCCCACATTAATTGTGGTAGCCCAAAACTCCCAAACTGACGCTGACGTGGAAAGTCAAAAAAGTCGTCGTCATTTCGTTTTCCCTCGCAGGCCCGCACGTCGGTACACCAGTCCAAGGCCATCCCGGTACGCGATTGTGGCGCCCCACTAAAAATCAAGCTTTTAAACCCATCGCTATAATCCTCCAAGTCCCCTCACCAATAGCGCAACCTTCACTTTTCACTGGACTAGCGGCCCCACGCTTGGCTGGCCCCACACGACAGTGGCTTGAACAGGTCGCAACGCCAGCGCCAGCGCCTGACGGAAAATATCATGCTAGTTGCTCTCGTTCCCCGGTTTGTTGAGCTCTTTCCCTTCCTCGCATCGAATCGAACCAAATCGAATCGGAGCGGCGGAGCAAAACGATCCCTCGCCTCGCTTCCCTTTGATTGAGCTCGACCAGGGCACTAATCGGGAAGCTAATGCCACGCAAGTCGCGAGATCTGTAGCGCCACTCGTCTTCACCGGCGGCGCGGCGGGCATGGAATCGCAGAACGGCTCCGGCGGAGGGGCGCCCGTGGTGCTCAACGTGTACGACCTGACGCCCATGAACAACTACCTCTACTGGTTCGGCCTCGGTATCTTCCACTCCGGAATCGAAGGTGCTTATGTTTCCACTCCCTCTTGCCTCGGATTGCCGGAATTTGGTTTCGTTGATTGTGTACAGTTGAAGTTGTACATATTCTCGTGTTCGTACAATACCTGTTGAAGTTGTACATATTCTCGTGTTCGTACAATACCTGTTTGAAGGGGCTCCTGTGACTAGGAGTTACCCAAAATCGTAGTCTAGTGATTGAAGAGGGGAAAGCGATAATTCTTAGATGAAGAGAAGGGGGCGGAATATTGCGATAGGTTTGTTTTGAATTCCCAGGATGTTACGAGCTTCTGCTGCTGTTCATAAGCAAGAAAAGGAATTCGATTAGTATGGAGACTTTTCCCTGTGTGCCATTATAAAAGATCGAAATTCCCTGTGTGTCTCTGGAAAAATTCAGCGGTGCCACTACTCTAACTTTTTCGGGTCCTCCATGCCACTTCCGTCAGTTCAGGCTCTAACGCCGTCAAACTGCAGGTGTGAAAAGACGAAAATGCCCTTAAGTTCAAATATGTTATTAATTTTTTTTGAGCATCTTAACGACTTCAAATGAAAAAACTCAAAACTAGAAAGTTGTAGATCTCGTCGAGATCTATAATTTTTATATAAAATTTATTTTCATTTAATTCCACAAAAAAATATGATGATTTTTCTAAGATATATTAATCATATCAAATCATATTTTTTTTGTGGAATTAAATGAAAATAAATTTTATATGAAAATTATAGATCTCGACAAGATCTACAACTTTCTAGTTTTGAGTTTTTTCATTTGAAGTCGTTAAGATGCTCAAAAAAAATTAATAACATATTTGAACTTAAGGGCATTTTCGTCTTTTCACACCTGCAGTTTGACGGCGTTAGAGCCTGAACTGACGGAACTGGCATGGAGCACCCGAAAAAGTTGAAGTAGTGGCGCTGAAGACCGCTGAATTTTTCCAATGACACACAGGGGATTTCGATCTTTTATAATGGCACACAGGAAAAAGTCTCATTAGTATGTTCTGGGCACGGAAGAAAACTGCTAAATCGGGGGTCAATTTTTACATTCGCTGTTTCTGACATGGTTAGGCAGCTGTTTTTGTCTTGTTGATGTTTGAAGCTTCAAGGGCTGTAACGTGCTCAAATAGGCCAGGTGAACTGTGGCATAGGGATGGACACTTAAAAAGTTTTGAGTTGTAAGGGTGAATATTGTCTCTAAATAGGCGTATCATGTTATGCATTGGCAATGGCTGGAATAATAGTCTGTCCTTCACTTTTCTGTGGTACACTTGTTTGTAGTGCTGTACTTTACACTATTTATCTGTAAGGTTGTACCATTAGTTCCCGGTCAAAAAAAAAGCTGTACCATTAGCAGTTGTCATTACCTTTGTAAGGTTGTACCATTAGTTCCCGGTGTAAAAGAAAAGTTGTACCATCAGCAGTTGTCATTACCTCTTGACTTACATTTGGTAGCTTGCATTGTGCTAGCTAACTGATTTTTATGAGCTTAAACTCAAACACTGGTGTATGGTTTACTCAAATAAACAGTTCATGGAATGGAGTACGGATTTGGAGCACACGAGTTTCCAACAAGTGGGGTATTTGAGGTGGAACCGAAAAGCTGTCCTGGTTTCATCTACAGAAGATCTGTGTGGATGGGCACAACTGACTTGTCTAGAGCAGAGTTCCGCTCTTTCATTGAAAATCTTGCAGGAAAGTACAATGGGAACACGTATCATTTGATTTCAAAGAATTGCAACCATTTTACAGATGATGTCTGTAAGAACTTGGCCAGGAAATCAATCCCTGGGTGGGTGAATCGGCTAGCAAGAGTGGGTTGGTATCACCAGCTTAATATGTCTTCGTCCTGATGTGCTTCAGACTTTTTAGGTATCTGATTGTTTTCCCCATATATTTAGGTTCATTTTTCAACTATCTTCTACCAGAAGGCATCCAAGTTTCCACAGTAAGACACGTCCCTACTCATCCTGCATTTTCTGGTGAGTTTGTGCCCGAAAGTTCTTATACGGATTTGTGCAGTTGACCTGAGTTTTTTTAATGAACTGCTACCTAAATGCCTAGACCTTGTTGTTAAACTTTACATTTTTAACTGTCCTATATACATCAACTGATCAATATATGGAACCTCCATTTGACTGGTATTCCTTGGTGTAATGAGTGATTGACCATCCTGAGTATTTTACTAGTAAGTAATCTGGTAGCCTTTTGGTCATATTATTCAAAATAACCACCAGGAGATCAAACTTTTTCTCTCTCCATTTGACCTAGCATACTTTTGTCTTCATGGAACATTAATCTGATTTGCTTGATGGTTATGTCATGCATGACTCATAATATACCTAGTAAAAAAGAGGTAATGATAATGTCTAGCTAGCAAGTTAGATAGGGTTGAGTTATCAACACTACAGATTATTGATTTTCTTCAGCTCAATATCATGCAACCTTCTATAAGCCACTCCAGATTCTAATTGAGATTTGCAAACAGTAGTAGATAGTTTATATATGCTGTGTCATCTTGTTCATTTGCTAGTTATCTTCTATTTTGTTCACATTTTTGCTGCCCTATTTTCTCACTTTCTTAGATGATGATATGGATTCGGTATCTTCATCGATTATTGGAGATAGTGATCTGGAAGAGTTGGACCAACACCTTCTGCCATCAACTGCTGACGTCCATTCTATAGACGTGCCACCAAAGCTAGCCAAAGATCTTCTCTGAATTATTCAAGCCTTTGGGTTGCACAGAGCAAGGATAACTTCGGCTGCTGCAGTTGATGTCCACTGAGTGCTTCTCCAGGTGGCGCAGGACTGAGGGAGTGTAGATGAATGCTGCTGATTGTATTGATTCTTTGCCACTGAGTTTGTTACATACACACATAGCTCTCGACAGAAATGGCATGGTTTCTAATTCTTTGCCTGTTATGACTTGTGATCCTAAGTATCTTGTGTTCGAGTGATACTGTACGCCCTAGAGACGTGAGTTGTGGCACTGCCGAACTGGCCTGTCCGAAAGTGGCACCAGGCTGTGGATCGTGATAGGGATAATACTGAAAGTCTGAAACCACCTGTGTGCCAATCCTTACCTAGCGGCCTTAGCCAGCACATGTTGTAACATATAAGTACCATAGAAGTATTTATGTTTATAATGGCAGTTCCGTGGCTGATTGATTTTTTGTGTGCTATTTGTGTTTGGACTGGATCATAATCTAAAGTCCCATTTGTAAGATGAGAAATGTTCTAGGGTTTTTCAGGATCTAATACATATTTTTACTAAGTTCTAGGGATTTACTTTTTTGTATTTCAAAATATGGGTCGTATTAGGATTTGGAAAGTCAAACTTTGTAAGTCTTGACAAAGAAGACGACAAATTATATGTATGCTTAGTAGAGTAAAGATTATGTCAACAGATTTACATAACATATATATCTCTTAGCCCCGTTTGGATCCTTAGAATTGAATTTATTTTAATAATCATAATTTAGACACATTAATTAAAGTTAATATGGTTGTATATGGATTATATTTGTATATTATTGTTGACTATATGAGAGAGATACTTATGTTTTGTATTTCTACCGTAGGGGAGTCAGTTGAAGAGCGTATTATAAGTTGTAAAGTAGAAACATAAAATGGTGATCTATAGATTCAATTTCCATCTTTCACCCTATGAATTTGAGATAGGCTTATATGTGAACTTTGAAAAGTAATGGAATGTAAAATTTTAAGCCAAATAGCCCGATTTATTAAGTAGATTTCAATTCCTCTAAATGAAAGGATCCAAAGGTGTTTGGTCGCTTCAAAAAAACAATAGTAGAGGTGATGGTGTCTGTGACCCGCTCAAGTCCATGGTGCCATGGAGTTTAGAGTTAGAGCAGTTCTAAGCAGTAAGCAGACCCTTTAGGTTTCAAAGCGGTGATGCAGATGCTTATGCTCTCCTGTTGAGTTTCAATGCGGCCTTTGCTAAGTCTCACATACTACAAACGTCTGTATTGAGTTCGGTAAAGAATTTTTTCCTTCATGCATGCGTACTGTAGGCGTGTAATATATCAACAATTTACACCAACTAATTTTGTCTCCATCAAACTGTATGCAATCATGCTACGTTCCTCGTCCTAGGTCACTAGGAGCGTCGATGAATGCTGAAATCATGCTACGTTCCTGCGTTCCTTGATTTGGTTGATTTGTCCACCTTTCGGTGCTCGGCGTGGTGCTCGGATTTAAGTTCAATTCCGCGTTCTAAGGAACTATGGGTCACTGAACCCCCATCTGCCGTCGTGGAAGACCCTCCAGTGAAGAGGATTCTGGCATATCCCATTGAAGTTCATGCTTCAGTTGTGATTCTTCCTGATGCCCCTCCTTCCAATGGAGACAGCGGCAGTGATGACAGCAGGGAGGACGGCTCTTCGCGGCTGCGACATCGTTTCTCGGCTCCTTTGCCGCCCCCCTCTGCTTCTGGTCCGGCGGATGGCAGGGAGACCGGCAGCGGCGCTTTGGGGCGCACGCCTGCCCAGGAAAGTGGAGGCCCCTCACTCAAGGCTGTTGCGGCTTCGGTCGTTTCCAAGGAGCTGTGGGGTGCCCCTAAGCGGCAGCCGTCAATGCACCGTGTCCCCGGCAAAAAATAACGAGGAGGTGGAGATGGTTGCCAGTTTGCAGAAACTTAATTGCGGAAGCCCTTTAGCCATCAGTGGGGCCGAGTCGGACTTGCTGGCCCCCTCGGCATCTTCTCCCGTGCTTACGTCCTTTGTGGTTGAGGAGCAATCAGCCCTCCCCTGGGCCGTAAGTGAATTGGTTCCTGGTGGGAATATTGAGTCAAGCATGCAGGTGTCTCCTAATGGGCTTAAAAAGTTGGGCCTGGGTGTGGTTTCAGATTTACAGGGTGTGTTGGGTGTTGATGGGGGCAACGGAAAGGCCGGCCTCACCACGCTCACCCCTATTGTTCGAGGAGGCGACGGTCTTACCGGCCTCACCACGATCCCCACGAACACCCCAGCCACCGCCTTATCTACAATCCAAGTCTTCGGCTAAGCGGCTCAGGGTCTATTCTAGGCGCCGTCTCCGCTCACGGCAGCGCCAGCGCTCCGGCTGCCGTCGTGGGTCCTCCCCACGCCCGTGCCTGGAGATTCTGGATTTGGAAGCTGGAAGAATTGATCCCACGACAGCCGGGGATGTGGTAGCGGCAGTAGCAGCTCCATCCTCGGTCTCCTTCCCTGGTGCGGTCCAAGGAGTGGATGACCGGCCCCCCTCAGAAGCGCATCAGCCAGGGTCTCCGACCCCCTCTGGCACCCATACCGTAGTTGGCTCGGATTTGGGGGGCCCTGAACAGCAGACCCAAGTCCCGGGCGTTGTAGTCCCTTTGTCGACTCCGCCCCGGGCTGGGAGTCTCCCGTCTTCGGAAGCCCGAGCTGCCTTCCTCAACGGCCTTGCTTGGTGTACAGATGCCCTCCTCCCGATGCCGGTAATCAACAAGCGAAGATACAAGTCCCAGTTGTCCGGGGCCACACCGCGTCGTAGTCGTCGGCTTGCTGGGGCTGCTGTGGAATTTCCTCTGAATGACCTGGGCGGGAGGACGAAGAAGAAGGCAATGCGATCTCTGGGCATCCTTGATGAAAATAAAGGTATTGACCAACAGGCTATAGATGATTATGCAAAATTATTTGGGCAACCCCTATCTGATTCACAGCTTCAAGCACTAGCTGCCTTGTTTTGTTGGTCCCAGCCTGATGAACTTGGGCAGGGGGAGGAATTGGAAATGTTGAGTTAATTGTCTGATGCATGGGTGGTCGCCTTTGATCATGTATTTATGGATCCTGCAAAAATCCTAATTTGGAATGTTAGGGGATTAAATTCTATCCCCTGGCAAGACTCTGTACGCTCTATTGTGGACTCAACTCGGTCGGACATTGTGCGTATTCAAGAAACCAAAATCACAGGTATATCTCGCAGAATTATACTATCTACCCTAGGCTCGGAATTCTCATACTTCGTTGCTGCCCCCTCTGTTGGTGCCAGCGGAGGAATCTTGGTTGCTTGAAGACGACATATTGGTTTTTCCGTAGTTCACGGGTTGACAATCATAGTGTAACAGTTCAGTTCTCCCGGAAAATGGGCAATCTTGGTGGTTGACTTGTGTTTATGGACCCCAAGGTAATGAGGACAAAATTCAGTTTCTTCAGGAATTACGGGATATTCGTGCAGCATGCCCGGGACCATGGATGGTGGCTGGGGATTTCAATCTAATTTACAGGGATGAAGACAAGAATAATACCAATTATAATAGGGCAATGATGGGTCGATTTAGGAGGTTTATCAATGTTTTGGCTTTTAAAGAGATACCGCTACATGATCGCAAGTACACATGGTCAAACCAGCAAAACTCTCCTACCCTCGTGAAACTGGATCGAGTGTTATGTTTAGTTGACTGGGAGGAGAAATTTCCCAACTTTTTGCTTCAAAGTTTGGCTTCAGATGATTCTGATCATTGCCCTCTCCTGCTAGGCCTCCAAGATAATAAACCAGGACGACCCAGATTTCACTTTGAATCCTTTTGGACTAAACTCGATGGTTTTCAGGAGGCTGTTGCTTCAGCTTGGACTTCAGTCCCTGCTGGTCCATGCCCTTTTTTAACTCTGAACAAGAAGTTCAAAGCTGTTACCAAGGGCCTGCAGAGTTAGAGTGACAAGGCGGTGGGACAGGTTAGCTTTCAGCTTGCTTTGGCAAGAGAGATTTTGCATCAGTTCGAGATCGCCCAAGATAACCGTCAGCTTTCCCCTGGAGAAGTTTGGCTCAAGAACAATCTGAAAAAGCACAGCTTGGCCATCGCATCCCTCAAGCGCACAATGGTTCGATTACGCTCAAGGATCAGCTGGCTCAAAGATGGTGATGCTAATACAAGAATCTTCCATATGCACGCCCGGCACCGGTAAAGGAAGAATTTTATTGGGAAACTTATTTCAGGTGATCGAATTTGCACCAGCCATAAGGACAAGGCTTCAGTCATTGATGATTATTATGAAAACCTGCTGGGAATCTGTACAGCTAAAGAGCACACAATCAACTTGGCTGATTTGGGAATTAATGCGCAAGACATGTCAGAGCTTGATCTTCCCTTCACCGAAGATGAGGTGTGGAGGACGATCCAGCAGTTACCTTCAGATAAGGCTCCGGGCCGGACGGGTACACGGGTCGTTTCTACAAATCATGCTGGACTATTATAAAAGAAGACATCATGGTAGCAATTTCAGCGGTATGGAGTAGGAAGATGGTAAATTTTGAAGCTCTGAATTCAGCTTACGTCACCCTTCTCCCCAAAAAAGAAGGTGCTGAACAACCCAAGGATTTAAGACCCATAAGCTTGGTCCATAGCTTCGCCAAGCTAGTAACAAAGCTGCTTGCTAATCGTCTTGCCCCTAGGCTGCAACAGATTGTCTCTCCTTACCAAAGCGCCTTCATAAAAGGGCGTTTTATACAGGATAACTTCATGTTAGTGCAACAAACAACAAGGTTCCTTCATCAGCAGAAGCAGCCCCAAATTTTACTCAAGTTGGATATTTCGAAGGCATTTGATTCCGTATCCTGGCCCTTCCTACTTGAGATATTGCAGCAGCTCGGTTTTGGATAAATTTGGCGGGGTATAATCAGCGGGCTGCTATCCTCTTCTTCAACTCAAGTCTTGTTAAATGGGATCCCAGGTGACAGGATTGCACATCGACGAGGGCTTCGGCAAGGTGACCCCCTCTCCCCGTTGTTGTTCATCCTGGTTATGGATGTATTGGGGCACATGATTTTGAAGGCTGAAAATGAAGGCTTGCTGCATCCACTATCTAGGCGCAGCTTACACCACATAATATCCATTTATGTGGACGATGTGGTTATGTTCCTCCATCCAGAAGCTGGCGACTGTCGACAGAATATCGTCGGCAGTCCACCGAGGGGTATCCCGCGATGGTAGATTTGTCGGTGAGGGTGCACGTAATCAGGAACCGGATGGTGACATAAGACGCAGAGACAGCAATTTAGACAGGTTCGGGCCGTCTGATCGACGTAATACCCTATGTCCTGTGTCTTTGGTGTATTGTATTGAATACATGATGTATGGATCTAAATAGATCGTCTATGTATCTTGTCCGCTAGGGGACCCCTACCTCTTCTTATATACTCTGGAGGAGGTAGGGTTATAAGGAAAGTATCATATTTGGTACTATACAATATATTGCGGTGCACGCCGAGCAACGCCGTGCACGCCTTGATCTTGTGGGCTGGGCCACCTCTGATGGTGCGGCCCATGTCTTGTCTTGAGGATAGCGGGGCTATACCCCCATAGCTGGTCCCCGAGCCTGACAGTAGGTGATGTAGTCACGTGGTGCCAGGGTCAGAAAGTAGAAAACCAGCCGAGCAGGCAGCCAGTCCCCTGACGTAGCCTCGAGATGAGAAAAGCACACATTCACCGCAAGGTGAAGTGTGCCCACTTAGTCCCCGAGACTGCTGGAAGATGAAGAATGAATCTTGTAGCAGGGTCAAAGAAAAGTCTGAAAGCTTACCGACGTCGTCTGACATGCGCGTATCAAGACCCCAGGCGTGCTGTCCAAGATCAGCACCCTGATCTGAACAGCCTGGAGCAGCTTTGATAGCACACCGACGAGACGTAGCAAGATCCGGGTAGCAAGGGAGTCCACGGCGTTGCTGACGATGTCCGAGCACCGAAGAGTGAGGAGTCTCCAGCGTCGCTGGTGATGTCCGAGCACCGAGGAGCGAGGAGTCCCCGACGTCGCTGGCGATGTCCGAGCACCGAGGAGCGAGGAGTCTCCGACGTCGCTGGCGATGTCCGAGCATCGAGATGCGAGGAGTCCCTGGCGTCGCTGACGATGTCCGAGCACCGAGGAGTCCCCGGCGTAGGCGGTGAGGTTCGAGCAGCGAGGAGTTCCCGGCACAGCTGGCGACGTCCAAACAGCGAGGAGTTCTCAGCGTAGCTGGTGATGTGCGAGCACCAAGGAGTTCTCGGCGTAGCTGGCGATGTGCGAGAACCGAGGAGTCCCCGACGTAAGCGGTGATGTCCGAGCAGCGAGAAGTCCCCGGCGTAGCTGACGATGTCCGAGCACCGAGGAGTCTCTAGCGTAGCTGGTGATGTCCGAGCACCGACGAGTCCCCGGCATAGGCGGCGATGTCCGAGCACCGAAGAGCGAGGAGTCTCTGGCGTTGCTGGCGATGTCCGAACGCCGAAGAGCAAGAGTCCCTGGCGTCGCTGGCGATGTCCGAGCACCGAGGAGTCCCCGACGTAGCTGGCGACGTCCGTGCGGTGAAGTGTGCCCACTTAGTCCTCGAGCACGAAGAATCCTAGTGCCGAGGAGTCCTCGGCGTAGCTGGCGATGAAGCAGGAGCGACGAACAGTCTGGTCATCTAGTCGGCGGCGAAGTGAGCAATGAGTAGAAGCGACCGGCGAACAGTCCGATCAACTGGTCGGCGACGAAGCCCATGAACCTAGCAGTCCAACCAGTTGATCGGTGGAGAAGTCCGAGCACCAGGTGGTCCGATCACCTGGACGATGATCCTGCAATACAAACATGTAGAACGGGTAGTACATAATGTAAAAATAAATAAACTCCGGAGAAAAATCAGCAATGGTGATGAAACGGCGTATGCATTTCGGCGATCAGTTGGCGTGAAGATGTTTTTATATTTAATACAAACCGTCCGAACAGTTGGTGTGTAGCTGAGTCTCCAGCCCTAGCTAGCCCATAGTCCATAACGTCGAGCGCGGAGCCCGTGCACGTGTAGGAGGAACATGTGTCACCAAGGAGCCACTGCCGACCACCCATAACGCGGAACGCGGAGCACGTAGCACGTGTAGGGAGGAGCCAGAGACAGAGCCGTCTATGGAGGCGTCCGAGCATCAACATAACTGTTCGGGGGTTCAGAAAATAATTTGGAGAGCAAACATGGAGAAAAAAGCTCGGAGAAATATTATGGCGATATACGGAAATTGGAGAATATTTAGAAAAATATTAAAACATGACTTAGCTTTAGATGGAAAATCTGGTCGGCGACGTATGGCGTTATTTGACGCGGCAGGCGATCGGAGCGAGTAGTTCGGTGATGTCGTCCTTATATTAGTGGTCGACGACTCAGGCGACTCGCTTTCTTCCTTGGATGGCTCAACGAGCCGTGCTTGGAGTGTATTCCTGTATATGTATGCACGATAGATACATACGTGCACATGCACGTGCAAGTATCCTAGCTGTTCGTAGTTGGCTTGCATGTCCGATTGTGGATCCTTGTTCGTGTTGATACAGACATGCAGATGGCCAGCGTCGCCTATCGTTGCGTGCCGAATTTGACGAGTCCGTTGCTGATCGGACTTCGGATAGATCGCGGCGACTTGGTTGACTTGCTCCAGGGAAAGCCTCAACTGGCATGTTGCTAGCTTGCTGCAATCTACAGCGGTAGCGCTCGTTGCTAGGCTTGCTGGAGTTGGAATCCTGTGCGGATGCCGCGTTTGGGGCCGGGCACTCCGCATCCAGCGCTGAACGGACTAGGACCGATCTAGATGAGGTATTGGCCAACTTCATGATGAAAGGCATCTAGATCGATGTAGTCGGGGAGTTGATGTCGACTTGATGTTGTCGACGAGTTGATCGTGTAGAACGGCGGGGATCAGCATGGGGAAGCTGAGCTGCCGTGGAAGGATGTCTTGAGTTATGTCATCTGGTTCACCAGGGATCAGCGCGCACGCCCCCTATCTGGCGCGCCAACTGTCGACAGAATATCGTCGGCAGTCCACCGAGGGGTATCCCGCGATAGTAGATTTGTCGGTGGGAGTGCACGTAATCAGGAACCGGATGGTGACACAAGGCGCAGAGACAACGATTTCGACATGTTCGGGCCGTCTGATCGACGTAATATCCTACGTCATGTGTCTTTGGTGTATTGTATTGAATACATGATGTATGGATCTAGATGGATCGTCTATGTATCTTGTCCGCTAGGGGACTCCTACCTCTTCTTATATACTCTGGAGGAGGTAGGGTTATAAGGAAAGTATCATATTTGATACTATACAATGTCTTGCGGTGTACGCCGAGCAGCGTCGTGCACGCCTTGATCTTGTGGGCTGGGCCACTTCTGATGGTGTGGCCCATGTCTTGTCTTGAGGATAGCGGGGGCCATACCCCCACAGTGACATTGCTGTAACCTTGGATATCCTCAATTTATTTGGAGAAGCAACGGGGCTCAAGACAAACTTACAAAAGAGCAATGTATTGCCCATCAGATGTGGTGATGTGGAGCTTGCAGCAGTGCAAAACCTGCTGCCCTGTGCACTCACTGACTTCCCATGCAGATATTTGGGACTGCCTCTCGCTTTGAAGAAGCTTACCAAGGCTCAAATTCAGCCTATTATTGACCGTATTGCTTATCAGCTTCCTGGCTGGAAGGCAGATTTGATGACCAAGGTTGGAAGAATGGTTCAGGTTCAGTTTGTGCTCACTGGTATGCTCGTCTATCTAATTATGGCCATCGACTTTCCACCTTGGGCTATTAAAGCAGTGGATAAAATTCGGCGTGGGTTCCTTTGGAGAGGCCACAAAGATGCAAAAGGAGGGCATTGTCTTATTGCTTGGGGTAAGGTTTGTATCCCTAAAGAACTTGGGGGTCTAGGAATTTCAGACCTTAAATCCCTTGGCTGGGCATTGCGAATGAGATGGGCCTGGTTATAAAAAACAGAACCATATCGCCCATGGGCTAATCTTCCAATTCATGTGCCAAATCAAGTTAGAGCCTTCTTTGCAGTGGTTGTTTACTCCGAGGTTGGAAATGGAGCGAACATCCTTTTCTGGACAGACCATTGGCTCCATGGCCAATGTGTCGCATATCTTGCACCTCGTCTTTTCGCCGCTATCCCTAAAAGGAGGACCAAACAACGAACTGTCTAGGATGCCCTTACCAACCAGACTTGGATTTCTGATATAAAAGGGGCTCGCACGGTCGGTGTAATGGTTGACTTCCTCCTCCTTTGGGACGTCCTGTCTGATTTCTCTTTGCAACCGGGTGTTGAAGATAGGCATATTTGGCGGTTTTCCTCAGATGGAAAGTATTCGGCCAAGACTGCATACAAGGGATTTTTTGTGGGGTCTATATCTTTTAAGCCCTGTGAAAGAATTTGGAAGACCTGGAACGCCGCCCAAATGCCGCTTCTTTGTTTGGTTGGTGGCTCACAACCGTTGTTGGACAGCGGATCGCCTTGCACGCCGTGGACTACCTCATCCTGAACGCTGCCCTTTGTGTGATCAGGTTGTAGAAACCATTGATCACTTCTTAGTTCAGTGTGTCTTTGCAAGAGAATTCTGGTTCCGCTTCTTTTCTCGGATGGGACTCCAAGCCCTTTCCCCGCAGTCCACATAAATATCCTTTCACTCGTGGTGGGAGAGAGTAAACAGTGCTGCTAGTGACATGGCAAGGAAATGAATCAACTCTCTCGTAATCCTGGGAGCTTGGACCTTATGGAGACACCGCAACAGTTGTGTTTTTGATGGTGCAGCCCCAAGTGTTGCAGGCGCTCTTGCTGTAGCGGAAGATGACAGAAGGCCGTGGTCTTTGGCGGGGGCTCGAGGATTATCCCTCTTGGATGCCCTCGCTCCGGGTGGTTAGCGTCCTCTCTCTCTCTTTTTTGGTGTCTAAGGCGCGTTAGCTTCCTAGCTAGTAGCAGCAGCTGCTGCACTGTGTTTTGTGTGTGTTGTGTTGTATGGGTTCTTAAACCCCCCCCCCTAATTATCTTCTTAATATTGTATCGATTCTTTGCCACTGAGTTTGTTACATACACACATAGCTCTCGACAGAAATGGCATGGTTTCTAATTCTTTGCCTGTTATGACTTGTGATCCTAAGTATCTTGTGTTCGAGTGATACTGTACGCCCTAGAGACGTGAGTTGTGGCACTGCCGAACTGGCCTGTCCGAAAGTGGCACCAGGCTGTGGATCGTGATAGGGATAATACTGAAAGTCTGAAACCACCTGTGTGCCAATCCTTACCTAGCGGCCTTAGCCAGCACATGCTGTAACATATAAGTACCATAGAAGTATTTATGTTTATAATGGCAGTTCCGTGGCTGATTGATTTTTTGTGTGCTATTTGTGTTTGGACTGGATCATAATCTAAAGTCCCATTTGGAAGATGAGAAATGTTCTAGGGTTTTTCAGGATCTAATACATATTTTTACTAAGTTCTAGGGATTTACTTTTTTTATTTCAAAATATGGGTCGCATTAGGATTTGGAAAGTCAAACTTTGTAAGTCTTGACAAAGAAAAAGACAAATTATATGTATGCTTAGTAGAGTAAAGATTATGTCAACAGATTTACATAACATATATATCTCTTAGGCCCCGTTTGGATCTTTAAAATTGAATTTATTTTAATAATCATAATTTAGACACATTAATTAAAGCTAATATGGTTGTATATGGATTATCGGCCTGTTCGCTGGTTGGTTTCTGGGCTGGTTTGGGCTGGCTGGTGCTGGTTTATTGTGAGAGTAAAACACTGTTGGCTGGCTGGTTTGGGCTGGCTGAAACCAACAAGCGAACTGGCTGTATATTTGTATATTATTGTTGATTAAACGAGAGATATACTTATGTTTTGTATTTCTACCGTAGGGGAAGTCAGTTGAAGAGCGTATTATAAGTTGCAAAGTAGAAATATAAAATGGTGATCTATAGATTCAATTTCCACCTTTCACCCTATGAATTTGAGATAGGCTTATATGTGAACTTTGAAAAGTAATGGAATGTAAAATTTTAAGCCAAATAGCCCGATTTATTAAGTAGATTTCAATTCTCTAAATGAAAGAATCCAAAGGTGTTTGGTCGCTTCAAAAAACAATAGTAGAGGTGATGGTGTCTGTGACCCGCTCAAGTCCATGGTGCCATGGAGTTTAGAGTTAGAGCAGTTCTAAGCAGTAAGCAGACCCTTTAGGTTTCAAAGCGGTGATGCAGATGCTTATGCTCTCCTGTTGAGTTTCAATGCGGCCTTTGCTAAGTCTCACATACTACAAACGTCTGTATTGAGTTCGGTAGAGAAAATTTTCCTTCATGCGTACTGTAGGCGTGTAATATATCAACAATTTACACCAACTAATTTTGTCTCCATCAAACTGTATGCAATGCAACTGCAGCTTTGTGTTCCTAGAAGCATGCGTCAGCGTCATAACTGTGGTCAGGGTCACTGAGTTCTCAGGTCGATGGGGTTGGAGAACGTAATTGAGGAACATTGTACGTTAATTAAGAAATGTTTTGACAGGGTCGGGACGATTGTTCCTGCGTTCCAGAACGGGAACGACGCTCCTAGTGACCTAGTCCTAGGACGAGGAACGTAGCATGATTTCACATTCCCTCTGTAACTAGTAACCCACAGGCCACAGGGTCTCAGCGAAACGGCTGTCAATGGCAATCCATCGGAATTTTCCTTCAAATTTTGCTTAGTTAATTCAGACCTTTTGATTGTGTCATTTTGACAATGATCACACTAGCAGCAGGCAAAAAGGTTCATTTCATTAGGGGGGAAAAAGGATCTTGGTCCTGCACTCTGCACCTGTTATGTTCGGCATGCAAAGAGAAAGTATTTCATTATCAGATATGCTGCTGTGTCCACCACTCCACCCCAGCGATTACTGACGCATAAATATCTGCGCCAAAATTTGATAGGGCTTTATTCTAGAAAAAGGGACAGCATGAGTCAATGACCCATTGGCGATACGCCATTGCTTCAAAAATAGATATAAATCAACTAGTGTTTACAAAAAGATTATACAGTGTGCACTCGATCATATGCATGATCAGAGCAGGACACAAATATATAGAAACAGACAAATATGCATGATCATAGGACTCCTTTCAATGCGTTTATCAGGAACAGAACTCGCTAGTTAACAGCTGAAGAGATCTGTTCTAGGCATATCGTTGTAATATGTCTGCCATATTGGTTGGTTCTTGGTTGCCATAATGAAATGATTGACTATAGCAGTTGCCAACTTGCCATGTCATATATCTGCAAGAATTTGAATTGATCCACATGCTTCACCCACGATTATCGCTGAATTCAGATCCAGGAGATTTCAAATGGTATAGCATTGATCTTTGAATGTTCTATTTTTATAAAGCGCACAAGTTGATGTGAACTTTTTTCTCCAACAACCCATTATGCATATGGAGGACCTTGACAATTGTCATGTGCAAAGCATCTTGATGTTTTCCCTCTGATTCATGCCCCTTAAATATCTGTTCTGTAAGCTCAATTGGCATTTCAGAAAGCTCCAGGTTCTTGAGATGCACAAGGTTCTCAATGCCTTGGGGTATTTTAGTTAGCTCAAAACAATGGCTAAGCATCAATTTATCTAGATTTACAAGGCTCCCCTTTTGAAACTCTAGGTGAGAAAGATTAGCTAAGTCATCTAACCTTAGTTTTCGTAGTACAGGAAAAACACCCGCTGCAAAGATCAAGCTCTTCTCTTCATATGCATCCACGAGGCTAAGATCAAACAACCTAGGGAGCGATGCCAGCAATCCAATTGAATCTTCCTTGAGTTTAGAAGAATGCAACTGCAACTGCATCAGACTACTAAGGTGACCAAACCATGAAGGTAGCTTATTCCCTATTAACCTTCCTGTTAGGGTGAATTTTTGTAGCTTCAACGGTGGTGGTGAAAAAGACTCGAGGTCCAGTTGTACATCAGCATCCCGACTTTCAATTCCCAGGCATTGAAGGTAACTCATTTTAGAGATGGATGATGGCAAATGGATAAGACTGCCCTCGTGCACACCACATAGTTCCAAGCTCCTCATCTGTTTCAAGCTTCCTAAGGATCTGACCGTCTCCTCATTAGCTTCGATGTATTTCAGAGTCTGCAGACAGGTCAGATTTCTCATCCCATCTGGAAGAAGAACTGCTTTACCAGGATATAGAAACCTAAAATCTGCAGCGTAGCGTCTAAACAATATCAGGTGGCGCAGACCTTTGAGTTTTGTTATGCTGCTTGGCAACCTCTGGACCATGGACCACTTGGCATCTAAAGTTTGCAACTTACGTAGTCGTCCCAATTCATGTGGTAGCTCTTTGATTAGAGTGGAACGGATGCCAAGATAGCACAGATTGAGGAGATTGGTCACTGAACTAGGCAGTTTATTTATTGGAACGTACCATAAGTCTAGAACAGTTAGTAATCTGAAGCTAGACAGCAGAGAAGCATCCAAATATGTTTTGAATCCATGGAGGGACCGAAGTGATGCCATTTGTGGAGCTGGAAGGTCACTACTTCCGCATCGATCAATTATGAGATGACGGAAATTACTATTTGACTCAAATGTTGGTGTGCACTTTGAGAATACGAAGTGTCCCTCCTTTGCCGACCTACTCAGAATCAACTCTCTGATCAAATCATGTATTTGGAACCGCTTGGCGCGTCCAAACTCATTTTTCATCACGACCTGCAGCAGGCTTCGTTGCACTAGCTGGTTCAGGTAATCATCAGCGACATCCTCCATTGTGGCATGGTTTTTTTCCTCAACAAAGCCTTCAGCAATCCACTTCCTTATGAGAATCTTCCTTTTGACAAAGAAATCCTCTGGGTATATACTACAATAAAGGAAACATCTCTTCAGAGGGTATGGTAGATCATCAATACTCAGATTCAGTATGCTTGACACTTGCCCAATTCCATGATCAGTGCTTTCATCCCACACAAGACTGTCATGCACGCTCTTCCAAGCAAACTCACTTTTCTCCTTCAAAGCAAGGACATTGCCAACTGACACAATCGCCAATGGTAGACCACTACATTTGTTCAGTATCTTCGAAGCCCAGTGCTCCAAATGCTGCGGGCACTCTCGATCAGCATCCTCCCTGAATGTTGTATTGCAAAATAAACACCACGCTTCCTTCTCAGGAAGCGGCTTCAGCAGGATGGTCCTGGTGGATTTTGTCAGATTAGCCACGTCTTGACTGCGTGTAGTGATGATTATCCGGCTCCGGGTTCCATCGTCAACAAATGCACTCCGGATCTCATACCATGCATCCGCGTCCCAGACGTCATCCAGCAACACCAAGTACCTTTTCTTGGACAGAATGCCTTGCAAAGCCTCGACCAGCGATCGGTAACTCGTCTCTTCAACGTCCTTTGGCACGCCGGCGCGAACGTCCCGCTGAAGTTCTTTCAAGACTCTCTTCAAGAGGTCTTCCCTCGTGAAGTTCTTAGAGACGGACACCCATGCGGCGCAATCGAAGTGGAAGCTAGCGGCGACTTCCCTGAAGACGTTGGTCACTAGAGTGGTCTTGCCAACACCACCCATCCCCCAGACGGCGACCAGCGTCCGCTGGGGCTCCATGTCCTCGGTCAGCCATTCCATCAGTAAGCTCCTCTGCGCCGCAAAGCCAACTATATCCTCTTCTCCGAGAAAGTGCGCCGTATCTGCTACCTTCCGGCTGATGAAGCTCGCGCTGCCGCCAACTGCATACGATCTCTCCGCGCCCGCGGAGGAAATCGCCGGCAAGATGCCGTATTGCTCCTTGGCGCCCGACAGTTCGCGGAGTCTGTCCCGCGCCTTCCGCAGTCGCCTAGAGAGCGCGAACCAGGCGCCTAAATTGGCGCAGCCGCGGATGAAGCCTCTACCGGATAGGTAGGAGTACTCGTCCACAACGTCCTCGAGCTCAAAGGCAGCGTTGCGAACCTGATTGATCCAGGCGACGGAGAGATCGTTGGTGCCGCGGCGAGAATCGGCGAAGCGGAGGAAGGCACGGAGGAGCTCGAGCTCGCGCACGGCGGCAGCGACCCCGGAGCGAATGGCGAAGAGGGAGGACAGCTCCACGGCTGCCGGCTCGGACAAGGACGCGGCCGCCTTTGCCGAGAGGGATACGGCGATCATCTCCGCCATGGGGAGAGCAAGAGCTTAGGAGGGGGGCTAAAAGTCAACGGACTGAAAAGATCTTTGACCAGTTGAGAAGTGTTAGGTGGCCGAAGTGAGCTGGAGATGAAGAAATATGAGTGGCTGGGTATGTGGGCCACGCGCGCGCCTGTGTGGTCCGCTACTCTCACCAATTCCATCGATTCTCTCCCGACCATGTCACCGCCGGGTCAGGTCCGTCAGCAGCGGCGGCACCAACTCTTTCCAAACGAGGCCACCGGCCACCGCTAACGAGACGAGGTGTCGGCGACGGCGATGTCGTCTATCGCATCGCAGCTGCTGAAGGCCATCAAGTCGGCGCTCGGCGCTGTGCCGGAGCCGGCCCGGCGGCCCATCACCCGGCCATCTGTGCTACGCAAAGGAGGCAGCCGACATCGATCTCCGCCATCCTGCCCATCGCCACCTGATTGATTCGAGCATGCTGTTGCTTTATTTGCTCTGCTCTTCTAGAGTAGCCAGCATTTCATGAGTAACAACTTGGTGGCATTTTCGCTAATCCGAGCGTTCTAGAATTTTGTTTGGTTCTTATGTGAGCTCCCATAATACTCCAATCAGCTTTCTCCGAATTCCCTCTGCAGTTTAGCTGCTATTTCCAGGTTGATCCCATCCAAGTACAAGAGTACACCTGTTGTTTATGCTTGTGCAGTTATTATTTTCGGAAACTTTACTAATTCTCTCAATCGAACCAAGGTTTGAAAAAGAAAATCAATTTAGTTTCATGATGTACACATTTGGTGTCAATAAATGTTAATAGTCTTCTCTATAGACTTGGTGAAACTTGAAATAGTTTTGACTTCAAAGCTAAATGTCGTTCTTTTGGGATGGAGGTAGCATATGAATAGCTAGCTAAATTTATTATGCTATTTTCAGGACCTTGGGAAATGAAGATAGTTTGAGTACTGTGATCATGCATCTGTTACATTCATTGGTTGAGCGGATTTCACACTCTTTTTCTGAACGTCAGTGGCGCCATTATAGATTGGGTATGTCACAGGAGTCGGAGTATGGATTGGCAGTCAATGTGACCGATCAATATTCCTATAAATTATGGTTTCCTTGTTTGAGTAAACTACTAAAAGAAATCAGGCTGCATGAGAAGAAAGATCTACATCTCATGCTACATTTGGCAATGAGGCTTATTCTATCTAAGTTGCAAGATACAGAATTGATTTTTTAGCTTGAATCTGAGGAAGCTGCTACTTTTGTCCAGGTAGCTCATTTGGTTGAACTATTGCTCTATTAGCGTTTTTCTCTATTCCATGTTCTATTTTGCTCAATGAGTCTAATTAGCATCTACTCCCTCCATTTCAAATTGTAAGTAGTTTTGGTTCTTCTAGGTGCATAGCTTTTGTTATACACCTAGATATACACTTATTAGTGTTGATCTCCTCCGACTCGGCCCAACGGTCGAGTCGGGCTCTCATCCGCGCCCTGGTCGGGGGCGTCCAACCAAATCATGGGTGGTGGCCCCCGTCGAACAGCGCCATATAAAGGAGGTGGGGGCCGGGGCTGTGGTATGAGGTTCACCGCCGCCCAAAGAACCCCACCGACAAACCCTAATCCGATCTAGAGGGTGCGCTGACAGCGACGGAAAGCGCCACCGCCTTCACCGCCGCCACTGGACCGTCGTCACTGGACTTCACCGCAGTCGCCATGGCCACCTCCTCCACCAAGCCCCAATGGTCTGCCTCTCTACATCCCTGATTCGGATTAAACCCTATCCCTAACCCTAGAAGAAAGGTCGGAGAGGGGAGGGAACTACCGGTTCTCCCGCCACCACCGTCGTGCGGGAAGAAGATCCCGCCACCGCACAGGAGAACGAGCCGAGCCGCCGCACGACGCCGCATCGCCGGCGCGCGGGCTCGGCCTCAGAGCATCGCCGCAAGGCCACTCGACTACGACGCGTTCACCCACGGGCAAACGTGCGCGCCGGCAAGGGGGCCTATGGCGGCACCGCCACCTTCCTCCGGCCGCCATGGGCAGCCGACGCCGCCGCTCCTCCTCACGTTTGCGGTGATGAGAGAGAAAGGGAGGGAGAGAATGATCTAGGGTTCCGGGGGAGGAGGCCGGTATACAGTTTTTCCCGACGAGATCGACGGACAGCCGTCGAATGAGACGACTCGAACGGCCGGGCGTTTTTGGCCCACGCGGGAAAGGAGAATCCCGACCTAGGCCTAGGTTGTGGCCTGGGACGCGGGAGCGCGCAGCGCACGAATGGGCCTCGGGCCGAATGAATAGTAGGGTTTTGAATTTGTTTTATTCTTTTCGGAAGCAAATTTTTGATGAATTTGGCTTAGATTTCATCTCCATTCAATTTGAACCAACGGGATAAATTGTCTAGAGAGTTGATAAGTACATAGAAATGCTTATGATCAAGAATTATTATTTTTCTAGTCTTTTCATGTTTCCGCTGCTATGAATATGTTTATCCTCTAATTAAATTAGAACCAACGGGAAATTTTTAATTGGAGGAGTAGTCTGATTTGTTTAAGTCAAATTATGATATTGTTATTTTTCTGACCAACGTTGATGATAACAATATTATAAGTTTATTTATGAGTTTTATGCATTAGTTCTATTTCTTCCCAACGGTGATGTAGAGTTAATGTAGAAGCACATTGTATGTTTTATTTTTGACCATCGTTAAATTAAGACATACAATTATTATGTCAATTGTTTCTCACTTTCTTTGATGTTGTTTTCAGGATACAACCCAATAATGTTTATCTCATCCATTCCGTCTCTCAATAGAAGCAACTATAACATATGGCGAGAGAAGCTTGAGATAGCACTTGCGCTGTCCGACAATGATCTAGCGCTAACCTCTCCCTGTTCCACTAAGCCTGAGGACCTGGTGAGGGCAGAAAATGAGACTGATGCAGCTTTCGCTATTCAGGAGCATGACCATGCAACAGTAAGAATGAAATACGACCTTGATCGTGCGAAGTGGGATAGTTCAAACCGTAAGTGTTTGATGGTGATTAAGGGCTCCATTGATGATCCAATAAGGGGATCAATCCCAGAATGTACCACCGCCACTAAGTATCTCAAGAAGGTGGAGAGTCAGTTTATTGGCTCTTTAAAGGCCTATGCAAGCCCTCTTATTAAGAAGTTAGTCAATGAGAAATACGCTGGTGCAGGGATTAGAGAGCACATATTGAAGATGAGCAACACGGCATCCAAGCTCAAACCAATGGGCATGGGGCTCAAGGATGAGTTCCTAGTTCATTTGATTTTTGTATCTTTACCCAAAGAGTATGAGACCTTTATTGTTAATTACAACTTACAGCCAGATAAGTGGGACATTAAGAAGCTCATTGCCATGTGTGTGCAAGAAGAGGAGAGGCTTAAGATGTAACACCCTCGGTGTACACTGTACAGTCTTTTGCTAAAACACTGCATGAGCATCATAATTGTGTGTAAATGTGTGTGATATAGGGTGTAAAGCAAGGTACGTAACTTGAAACGTTCATCGGAAACGCGAAACAAATGTTATATTTCATGTCACGATACATCACTTAGGGTTCTAAATGAATTTTTATTGAACGAAAATGCTATAGAACGCATGTATGAAACTTTAATAAAGTTTATAGTACAAACTTTGTAGGTGGCGATGAAATACTTGTGATTGAGAATGGAATTCCCTAGCTAGCATGGTTGGTAGCTTGGAAATCGAAGTTGACGCGAATCCAAACAAAAACTTAGTCAATTTTCGTAAGTCGAAAATGGTTCGACGAAGCTAAGTTCGACAATTTTTGTAGGAGATTTGAGTAAAGTAACAGTGGGGTATTAGGGCTTGTTTCAATAGTTTCACATACCCTCTTGGGTTTTGAAAAACTGGTTTGGCAATTGAATCATCAAGTTTGATTTTTGAAACGCTTTAAAAATCGTGCATGGCACGTTACCGTCGGTTTCGACGTCGGGGCGTGGTCACCGTGCTCGGCACTCGGCGTTGTCGCGCCAGCCGACCGACGCGCACGCGCACACATGCCCGCACGCGTGGTTCCACGTTGCTGGCCATTGCCACCTGCTACTGCGCTTTGGCTCACGACTCACGCGCACACGCGCCCGCTGGGGCCCGGCGAGCCTGGTCGCTCTGCCATCGCCGTGGCGTAGAGCTGCGTCCCCAATCGCGCTGCGCTCCGACCACCGCTCGTCGGTCACTACTGCCACTGACCCTTCACGGCTGCACGCGTGTGGGCTTTCCCCGTCTGCCTTCGCCATCACGTCCGCGCTCGATGCCATGCCACGCTGCTGCCTCCCCGGACCGGCGCCAGCCATTGTGGTTGCCGAGCCGTCGTTGTCTTGCGAGTCGTGGCGCTGCGGTCTCAAGTCATCATGCTGGACTTGTACGCGCACATGGAGCCATCACCCATCGCGATGCCGTCCTCTCCCATTTAGTGACTGTGCCACGCCATGCTCCTCATCATGTCACCTTGAATAGCGTCGCGCCGGCCGATCGAGCCGTGCCAAGGCAAACCCGCAAGCCTAGCCCTATCCTCATAATTGTGCGTGTTTGTAGCTTGATTTGGAGTTTAGCATCGCGCCAAGCCTACCACTGTTGCGGCCGTACGACGTCGGGCGTCAATTTGAGTTTTCCCCATCGCCGGCCACCATAAGACCGAGCTGAGTCGTCCATCTAATTAGCTTTGCATAGTCCACCTCCTTCCAATTAACCGTGCACCCAACTAGCCCTGGAAGTTAGCTCACGATTGGAGTTGACCCGACGAGCTTTCGTCCTCCAGTGAGGTAATGTGGGGCATTCTCCTCGCTGGCGGTCTGCCATGACCGTCGAGGCGGGTTCTCGGCTAGGGCATCGCTCCATGCTCGTTGTTTCAATTGAGCGGTGCTTTTGCATCGTGTTGACATGGTTGCATCGCCCGTGTAGCAGTTTCACTAGCGGATCCACAGGTCGCCGGGGACGCGGTTGCCAACGCTTGCCGTGAACCCGAGCAACCCCGCGCTCGTGG